ACAGACAATGTAAGGAGGGGCCAGTACTGGGGGAGGGACCTACAGGAAAATGGCTCCACCCCTAGGTATCCCTGGCCAGGGACTGACTCCTGAGCCCTGCGCATCTCTGATCCTAGGATAAGCTCTGACACTCCCTTGTCACCCAGAGTGCTGTTTAATTTCCAGACTGTATCCTTCTTCAGAGAGATCTCCAACTTTCCCCTGATGGCTCCTCATCCAGAGTGCTCCTGAACCTCCAAGGGCCCCCCACCCCCAGCTAAAGATGGCATCTGATCCCCAGAGCACCCCAAACCCTCTTAAATGTCTCCAGACTCCCTGGGTGTTATTTCCCAGAGTGCTCCCCATGAATCCCTGCATGCTCCCTGACCCCTGACCCTGTGTGCCCGCAGTCTTTCCTGTACCTGGGCTGGTACATGGTGATGTCCCTCCTGGGACACTACAACAACTTCTTCTTTGCTGCCCACCTCCTGGACATTGCCATGGGAGTCAAGACACTGCGCACCATCCTCTCCTCTGTCACCCACAATGGGAAACAGGTGTGGAGAGGACCTGACGGAGGCGTGTGAGCCTGGCAGGGACCAGTTAGCAGTCTGTGTAGGGGTGGAGGGATGAGGGACAAGGCTAGGCCACCAAGCGAGGGTGGGTGTGGGTAGTAGGCTCGAGGGTGCATGGCTGAACCTAAGTAAGGATGGGGAAGGCTGGGCATGGGGGGGGGGGGGGAGCAGCAAGCCGGAGCATGGAGCTGACATGCCCCTGCCTATCCCCAGTTGGTGATGACCGTCGGCCTCCTGGCAGTGGTGGTTTACCTGTATACTGTGGTGGCCTTCAACTTCTTCCGCAAGTTCTACAACAAGAGCGAGGATGAGGACGAGCCTGACATGAAGTGCGATGACATGATGACAGTAAGCCTCTCCCTCCAGCGCTCTTGGGCCAGTGACTTAACCGTCCCTGACCTTTAGTTTTCCCCTCTGTAAAGGGGCTTAATAATAAATAGTCCCTGCCTCATAGCTTTACTGTGAGGGTTCAGTGAGCTGATGCTTGTGAGGTACTTTGAATAGTACTAGGCACACAACCAATACTCAGTAAATGTCGACCACTGGTGTACTATTATTTGAGTTTTTATAACTTTTCTTATTTGGAAAGGCACTCAGGCAAAGTGTCCCAAGCCATGTGATCATGGGCAAGCTACTCAAACTCCCCATGCTCTTGGGGTCCCTAATTGTCAAAAGAATATATAGTAACAGTATCTTCAGGACTCAGTGGTGCTCTGTGACAATATCAGATTTAAATAGCTGAGAATAGTGCCTGACATGTGATAAGGAATATATAAATGTTAGCTCCTGCCATCATCCTATATAATAAAAGGGTAATATGCAAATTGACCTATATTCCAACACACAAGATGGCTGCCTCCATGTAGACACAAGATGGCCACCACAAAATAGCTGGCAAGGGAGGGCAGTTGGGAGGGACCAGGCCTGCAAGGGAGGCCAGTTGGGGCCAATCAGGCCTGCAGGGGAGGGCAGTTAGGGGTGACAGGGCCAGCAGAGGAGGGCAGTTGGGGGTGACCAGGCCAGCAGGGGAGAACAGTTAGGGACAACCAGGTTGGCAGGGGAAGGCAGTTAGGGGCAACCAGGGCTGTAGGGGAGAACAGTTTTGGGAGGGACCAGGCTTGCAAGGGAGGCCAGTCAGGAGCAATCAGGCCTGCAGTTAGGGGTGACAGGGCCAGCAGAGGAGGGCAGTTGGGGGGGACCAGGCCTAAAGGGGAGAACAGTTAAGGACAACCAGGTTGGCAGGGGAAGGCAGTTAGAGGCAACAAGGACTGTAGGGGAGGGCAGTTGGGAGGGACAAGGCCTGCAGTGGAGGGCAGTTGGGGGGACCAAGCCTTAAGGGGAGGGCAGTTAAGGGGTATCAGGCCTACAGGGGAGGGCAGTTGGGGGGGGGCCAGGCCTAAAGGGGAGGGCAGTTAGGGGCAACCAGGCTGGCAGGAGAGGGCAGTTAGGAGCAATCAGGCCGGCAGGGGAGCAGTTAGGCATCAATCAGGCTGGCAAGGGAGTGGTTAGAGGGTGATCAGGCTGGCAGGCAGAAGTGGTTAGGGGCAATCAGGCAGGCAGGCATGCGGTTGGGAGAGGGGTGTCTAACTGTCCGTTTAGGCCCAATCCCACCAGGTGGGAAACAGTGCAGGCTGAGCTGAGGGACACTACCCTTCCCCCCAACAATGCATGAATTTTTTGCACTGGGCCTCTAGTTATCTATAATTAGAAGTTTCACCAAAGTACCAGCATACCACCCATTTCTGTTTTCTCTCCTATTATAATAATGGTAGTTATAATCTAAATTGAGTTTAATCTACCAAAGGCATGGGACACAGTTGAAAGAATCATCTCAGGCTTTTATCTGAAATGTCCTGTAATCTGGCACCATAATCTCAGGACCCAGTCCAGCACCTCAGTCTGACATTTGAGACCCCACCAGACCCCGTCTTGCCACTCATACAGGCCTGGTTGCCCCTCACTGCCCTCCCCTGCCAGCCTGGTTGCCCATCATAGTCACTGGCCTTAGCTTTTACCCAAGACAACTAGGGGACACAGAAATAACAAGTTTGAAGTCTTTCCCAAGGTCCAGACAGATGATGTTCCCGGCTCTGCACCGAATCTTCGTGTGGTCCTAATGCCAGGTGGATGAAACAAATTCTCTCGTTATGGCTTACAGAGCCAGGGAAAAGCTAGTGTTGCCTGAGTCTAACCACAGTCTTTTTTGCCTTTTGCTCTCTGGCTGCCTGGTCCTTCTTTCACTTCCCCTAAGACCATGTGTTTTCTCCCAACCCAAGCTTTTTGCTTCTGATGTTCTCTTTTCCTCCCACCCTGGCCCTATGTGCACATACACCTCTTCATTTGACACCTATTTTTTCCACTTAAATGCTGCCTCCTACAGGAAGCCCTCAATAACCATTGATTGAACCTCATCTCTCTCCCTACTCTTGCTCACAGGATCTCTATTTTCTAGCCTCACTGAACATTTATTTCAGTTCCTCATGGGAGCAAAATGTGTTCTTTCTCCCCCAATGGTGATGTAGCGCATGTGGTTTCCTCTGCCTGGAACAGTCTCCCACCTAACACCTGCTTCATGTCCCAGCTCACATATGCCTCCTCTTCCAGGAAGCTGCCTGCTCACCCAGGCTTTCAAGCTTCAAAGCTTCCTCTGCTTCCCTATCTCCTCTGATCACCCTGTGTCTCCCTCATCCCAGCTTCCCCATCAAAGCCCAGATCGTTTCTTGACTGTCACTATCTGGTGGCATGTTTGTGATCCCTGTGAGGGCAGGTCCAGGGTTGTCTCAGTCATTGCCATGACTCCTGCCCCACTGGCCCAGGGCCATGTAGGTACTCGGTGATTGCTGAATGATCAAATGTGTGACCAATATGCTTCTCACCCTCTCCCTGCAGTGTTACTTGTTTCACATGTACGTGGGTGTCCGAGCTGGTGGGGGCATTGGGGATGAGATTGAGGACCCAGCAGGCGATGAATATGAGCTGTACCGAGTGGTCTTTGACATCACCTTCTTCTTCTTCGTCATCGTCATCCTGCTGGCCATCATCCAGGGTCAGTGCTGCTAGGGGTTGTGGGAGTGGGGCTCAGACTAGCTCCTTTGAGTGCCATCCCAGAACCCAGTCTGCTTGGGTCCATGTCCTGGCTCTGCCTCTCCTTACTGGAAGATTAGGGCAAGTCACCTCTCTGGACATCAGTTTCTCCATTTGTGAAATGGAGATATTAATAAGATGCTCATATTGTTGTTGTGAGAATAAAGTCAATTCATAGGTGTTAAGTGTCTGGCTCATAAGTGCTCAATAAACACTAGATGTCAGTATTTTCAGGAAGCAGGGTGATATTAGGAAGATGGGAGATGGGTGATTCAGAGGTAGGTAACCAGAAGTGGGTCAGAGGTTGGGCACTGACCTATGCCCTGCCTTCCAGGTCTGATCATTGATGCTTTTGGTGAGCTCCGAGACCAGCAAGAACAAGTGAAGGAAGATATGGAGGTAGGTGTTGTCTGGGTGTGACCCAAAGGGATTATAGGACCCTGGAGAGTTGAAAGGGCCTGGACTCTGATGTCTCTCACTACCCACAGACCAAGTGCTTCATCTGTGGCATTGGCAGTGATTACTTTGATACCACACCCCACGGGTTTGAGACTCACACACTAGAGGAACACAACCTGGCCAATTACATGTGAGTGTGGGCCCACTGGCCAATGAGAAGGATGGTCACTGACTGTCAGGGGTTGGGTACTGGCCTTGGCCAGTTAGGGAAATGGGTGTGGTCCATAGTGGATTCCCAGCCAGCTAATCAGAAGGTAAGGATGCATTGTGCCTGACCTGTCTACTGCTGCATTCCCATCCCCAGGTTTTTCCTGATGTACCTGATAAACAAGGATGAGACAGAACACACTGGTCAGGTAAAGGGGTGTTAATGGGAGGACAGTGGGCAGGACCTGGAGAATTTTAATATAAGATTAATCATGTCAATTTCAAGTGTTTGAAGATGTGACCAACCTTTTCCTCCCCATTTCCCAACCCTAGGAGTCCTACGTGTGGAAGATGTACCAAGAGAGATGCTGGGACTTCTTCCCTGCTGGCGATTGTTTCCGCAAGCAGTATGAGGACCAGCTCAACTGAGTCACCTCTGCTGGCCCTTCACCCCCGCCTCAAGTGCCTTACTCTCACAGCAAGCCCCTTTGCCCCAGGCCCTCTCCACAAGGCCCCTGGGGGGAGGTGACCATGTCCTGGAGAAATAAAGTCTGTGCTACCCCTGATGTCCTAGTGTTGGATTGTTGACATTGGGGAGGAGCATCCTAAAATTCTGTCCTTCCCCAACCCCAGAAAAACAAGATGAGAGTAGAGGCTGAAGACATGTTTATTGTGGTAAAGAGACATGTCAGGACCACTAATGAGTGTCTGTTGGAAAGGAGGGTGCAGGGAATGGTTCCTAACACCTTCAGGGACTCATTCCTGAATGTAGAGGTTGCTGGGAGCCGTAGGATCATCTGTTGGGCGTGTCTCCACCACTACAGGCCTGGGGAAGAGAGAAGTCAGTTCAGGCATTTTTTTTTTTTTTTTTTTTTGGAAGGATGTGTGTGTGTGGTTATTTTTTTAATCCTCACCCAAGGATATTTTTCCATTTTTTAAAAAAATTTATTTTATTTTTTAGAGAGAGTGAAAGAGTGAGGGAAAGACAGAGAGAAATATCGATTTGAGAGAAACACATTTATTGGCTACCAGGGCCTGGGCTGTGGAGCAACCTGCAACCAAGGTACATGACCAGAATTGAACCTGGGACCCTCTGGTCTGCAAGCCAATGCTCTATCCATTGAGCCAAACTGGCTAGGGCTAGGCATTTCTTCATTCATTCATTCACAAATTAATAAAGACTGTGCTTGCATAATGCTAGTCTGTAGCAGTGAACAAGCAGACATGGTCCCTGAACTTGGGGACCTTACTTTCAAGCAGGAGACCAACATGAGTCAGTAAATTACAGGAGTGCAAAGCACGGCACCTAGCCCCAGGGGTCAGCCAAGGTGCCTCCAAAGAATGGATAGGAGATCCTGAACAAGGCTTAGGAGGGAACTTGGTGAAAAGACATGGAAGAGCGTTTGGAGAGAGAACAGCCCATGCAAAGGCCTGGAGGTAGAGGGACTGGGGGTTGGCTGCAGAGTCACAAGGGCTGTGGCCAGAATTGGGAATTTATCTTGAAGCCACAGGGGAGGAGTATTTTTTTATTTTAAAAAAATATATATATTTTCAGAGAGGAAAGGAGAGGGAGAGAGAGATAGACACATCAATGATGAGAGAATCACTGATCGGCTGTCTCCTGCACACACCCACCACTGGGAATCGAGCCCGCAACCTGGGCATGTGCTCTTGACTGGAATCAAACCTGGGACCTTCAGTCCACAGGCCGATGTTCCAGCCACTGAATCAAACTGGCTAGGGTGCCACAGAAGGATTTTAGACATGGGAAGTAACAAATTCATATTTGGAATTTAAAAGACCCCTCTTTTATGTCAAAAATGGTCACAGAAGATCCTTGAAGAGGCTTGCACTGGCTAAATCTGGGAGTATTTGTGCCTTTAAAAAAAAATGATAGTAATAGATTATATATAATCCATAGAATACAATGGAAATCCATGAGACTATGCTGAAATACATACATATATACACATAAATGGTGGAGAAGAGACAGTTTTTCCCTACAGTGTGGCTCAGTTGGTTGTCCCATGCACCTAAAGGTTGCCACTTGAATTGCTGGTCAAGGCATGTGCCTGGGTTTCCAGCTCAATTACCAGGAGTGGGCTTCTAGGAGACAAATCAATCCATGTATTGCTGCCACATCAATGTTTCTCTTTCTCCCTCCCTCTCTCAAAAAAAAAAAATCAATTAAAAAAAAAAATAAATAAATGTAGACAGAATGATAGAAATAGAAAAATCACCATTTAGTAACCATCCTAATAATAGATTCAGACAAAAATCATCTATAGCCCTGGCCGGGAAGCATGTTGTCCTGGTATGTCAAGGTTCAATCTCTGGTCAGGGCACATACAAGAAGCAATCAATGTTTCAGCTGTGGTGGCTCAGTGGCTGAGCATCAACTATGAACCAAAAGGTCATGGTTCAATTCCTGGTCAGGGCACATGCCTGGGTTGCAGGCTCAATCCCCAGGAGGCAGCCAATCAATGATTCTCATCATTGATGTTTCTATCTCTCCCTCTCCCTTTCTCTCTGAAATCAATTTTAAAAAAATATTTTTTAAAGCTGAAACTGGTTTGGCTCAGTAGATAGAACATCGGCCTGCAGACTGAAGGTACCAGGTTCTATTCCGGTCAAAAGCATGTGCCTTGGTTGCGGGCACATCCCCAGTAAAGGATGTGCAGGAGGCAGCTGATAGATGTTTCTCTCTCATCGATGTTTCTCTCTATCCCTCTCTCTTCTCTGTAAAAAAATCAATAAAATATTTATTTTTTAAAGAGGCAACCAATGAATGCACAAGTGGAACAACAAATCAATGTCTCTCTCTTCCTCTAAAATCAATAAATAAAACTTTAAACAAAATTATCAATAAACTGCTAAAACTAGTCGATGAAAGTCTAGTAAGAAAGAGTATATTTACACAGTCTTAACACATCACCCAAAAATATACATAGTCTCTCCTCCCCCCACCCACAGTTTTGCTTTCCAAGGTCTCAGTTACCTGAGGTTAAAAGCAGTCCAAAAATATTAAATGGAAAATTCCAGAAATAAACAATCCATATGTTTTAAACTGTATGTCGTTCTAACTAGCATGATTAAATCTGGTGCTGCCCCACCCTGTCCTACCCAAAGGGGGTCGTCTCTATCTAGCCTACCCAATTGTATATGCTAGCCTCCCTTTGGTCACTTAGCCATCTCAGTTATCAGACCGACTGTTACGGTATCTCAGTCCTATGTTCAAAGTACCCTTACAGTAGCTTAATGCTACATCACAATGCTTATGTCATTCATATCACTTCTCCCCATCTCATAGGCATTGTATCATCTCACATCATCATGAGGAAAAGGCTGACTACAGCACAAGATATTTTGAGAGAGACCACATTCAGATAATTTTATTATTTATTATTATAATTGTTCTAGTTTATTAATTATTGTTGTTATCTCTTACTGTGCCTAATTTATAAGTTAAATTTTGTTATAGGTATGTGTGTATAGGAAAAAACATAATACATATAGGGCCCAATACTACCTGCAGTTTCAGGACTGAAGGTCTTGGAACATATCCCTACAGGTAAGGGGGGGAGGGGGCCTTCTGTACTTATTAATAGAAAGGAAAAAAGACTAACTTGAAAGTGGGAAAACATGGCTGACTGCACACCTTAACCAAATGATCAAAGAGAACGTCATCAGAATAAGACAAACTGACATGTGCCTCCTGATATGATGCGTGAGACAGCCACACCATCATTTCAGTGAATCTCCTGCCCCAAATGCTTAACCTGGGCATCTCAAACCCAACTGAGGGACATTCTGTAAAACAATTTTCCTGCACTCTCTTCAAAAGTGTCAAGATCACGAAAAACAAAGCAAGTCTGAAGAACTTTTCCAGGCTAAAGACTAAAGAAACATGCCTCCTGCCCTGCCCAGTGTTCTCAGTGGTTAGAGCGTCAGCCTGAGTACTGCAGGCTTACAGGTTTGGTTTGGGTCAAGGGCACTTATCTGGGTTGCAGGTTCAATCCCAGACCCCCTGGGACATGTGCCAGAGGCAACCAATCTATTAATATTTGTTTTTCTCACATCAATGTTTTGTTTCTCTCTCTCCCTCCCTCTGTCCCTTCCACTCTCTTTCAAAAAAATCTATGGGGAAAATATCCTCAGGTGAGAATTGACAAGAAGAAGGAGGAGGAGGAGGAGGAGGAGGAGGAGGAGGAGGAGGAGGAGGAGGAGGAGGAGGAGGAGGGAGGGAGGGAGGAAGGGAGGGAGGGAAGAAAGAAGACTCCTAAATGCAATTGATCATCCTGGGTTGTATTCTGGACACCCCCCCCCCCAATAATATTATTTTTTTGTTATTACGAATATCACTGGTATAAATAGTGATATTTCAATGGGTGTGTGGATTAGAAGGTAGTGATATCTCTATATTTTCTTGATTTTGAAGGCTGCATGTGGTTTGTAAGAGCAGGTCCTTGCTTGATTTAGTGAACACACACTGAAGAATTTATGAGTAAATAGTCACCATGTCTGCAATTTACACCCCCATAGTCAGAAAAAAAAAAAATCAATGGACTATCGGGGGCAGAGCTGGAAACAGGACCAGGGGCGAGAATGTCTAGACCAAAGATTCGGTGGCTAAGAACACCTCAGAATGCCCCCTCCACCTCAGAAGCCCTCCTCCCAGTTCCCCAAGTCCATACCTGGGGGAGCCAAGCAGACGGAAGGTGAGGGTGGGGTCTCTCAGCTCCTGAAGCAGCTGGAGGAGAAGATGTGTGTCAGTATCTAGAATACTCCTCCAGCTTCCTTAAAGAGGACAGGAGGGAGTGCTCTGAACTCCCAGCCTCAGATCCACAAATAATCATTCTTGCTAATACCACTCACCAGCTGTTTGACTTCGAACAAGTTATTTAACCTCCCTGTGCGTCAGATTACTAACCTGTGAAATCACAGTACCTACCTGACAGGTGATCTCGAAGATTAAATAAAATACAAACATGTATGGGCAGGTTCTGACACACAGTGACCTATGAGCTAAGCACCATTTTTGCCCCATCTTCCAGATGAGGAAAGTAAGGCACAGGAAGGTTAAGTCATTTGCCTAAGGTGACTCAACTCCATTCCAACCCAGGCAGTCTGGTCCATACGCCTAACCACCCATATATCTCCATAGTGCCCCTATTTTATAGTTGGGATGATGAGGCTAAGAGAGAAGCAAAGTCACACATGCACAAGGTCACACATGGCCTGGGATGAGCTCTGGACACAAGAGACCCTGGGGAAGAGCAGGGGACCCGTCTGATCTGAGACTGGAGGACGCTTCTCCTCAGGGTTTCACAGCTGACTCAGACCTCCCGGCCCATGTCCTGAGAGAGGTGGGTGAGAGAGGAGGTAAGGCTGTAGGGCTTGGGCGGGGGACGCTTACCTGGTCAGAGCCTAGAGCCCACACCTGCACGCCATGCTTCCAGAAGGCCTGGAGCCGCCCTCCGACCATCGCTGGGAGGAAAGCAGTGCCTGTTACCCTCGGGGATCCCTTGAGCCTCCACTCTGGACCCCGGGCCGCCCAATTCCACGTACCCACAGCCTCCACAGCTTCCGTCATGGGGATCTCCGGAGCTCTAAGCCCCCTGACTGGGGCTCCCTCCGGCGTCACCAGCTTCAGAGACCCTAGAAGGGAGTGAAGAGGCTGTAAGAGCGGGTTACCGAGAAAACTGGACAGTAAGTTCCAGGAGAGAAGCAAAGCAAGACCGGGGCTGAGAGAAGGGGCGTCCTTACCGTCCATCAACACCATGACTTTGTCTTCCTCCACCTGGGTCACCTGCACTGGTCCCTGGTGCTCTGTTTGGGAGGAGGAGGTTCAGGGCAGATTCCGTGGCACTCTCCTTCCTCCTTAGCGCCCGCTCCATCCCCGCACAAGTAGGCTAAACCCGCTCCTACTCCCCGGGGGCCCGGTCCTCTACCCCACCCGAGGAGCGCACCGCCTTTCTCCCCGTCCCGCACACGCCGGTCCCATCCCCTTCCAACCCGCCTCGAGCTCAGGCAGCCCCGCCCCAGCCCGCCCCGCCGCCGCGCTCACTGGTGCTCATGTCGCCCAGCCAGCAGGACAGCGCGCCGAAGCGCACGGTGTGGAAGAGCACGGACTTGGGGGGCCGCGGGCTGACGCCGATGCACACGGCGGGCAGCTCGGAGCCCGGCCCCGTCAGCAGCGCGAACACGGGCAGGGGCGTAGGCAGCGGGAACAGCACCTGCTGCGGGGGGGGGGGGGGGGGGGGGGGCAATGGGGGGGGAGAACGGGCTCAGAGAGGCTCGGGGCAGCGGAGAGGGCGGGGCCCTGACGGCGGGCGGCCTTGGGAGGGGCCAAATCCAGAAATGTTTGTGGATGAGGTCTCGGGGTTTCGGTGGCGCCTCCTTAGAAATGGACAAATGTACTCTGAGTTCTCGTGGCTGCCCATGGGGGCGTGGCGCTCTGGTGACAGAAAGACAGGGTCCCCCACCTACCCACCCCCAGGAGCGTGGCCTCGAAGGCGGCCGGGTCTCAGAGGCTCAAAGGACCTGCACGGGGTCCCCTTAGTGCAGAGGGGGAAGGGCCTTGTGCCTGGAGAGGGAGGCCAGGATGAGGGATGGAAGTTAAGGACTAGAAAGCCCTCAGGAGGAGGGCTCGCACCCTGACCTATGGCAGGGGGACAGAACCTTGGGGAAAACTGGGATCAGGCCTCGAGTGGAAGTGGGGTTTCATGGAAGTCTCCGCAGAAGCCAGCATCTACAGCTCCCTACCCGGATCAGCAGGAACTTGTTCATGGGCTGGTACCACTGAAGCAGGACCACAGAGGTCTCCAACGCCCCACACAGGAAGGGGCCCCCGGAGCTGGAGCCCTCCGCTGTGGGAGAGGGTAAGGACATGATAGAGTCACTCTCTCCCCATTCCCGTTCTCCCAAAAGGCCACATTTTTCCCAGGCTCTGGACACCCTGCCTTAACTCTGCAAACCCCAGGGTGGATGGGCCCATGCACCACCCACGGCCCAGGCCGCCCCTTCCTGCCTCCCAGGGGGCTTTCTCTCACCCACACAGCACGCTTGGCAGCCTTTGGTGTCCTGGATCTTGGTGGAGACCATGTTCTTCCTGCAAAAGAAGGTATGGGGGGGTGGAGGGTAGGCGGGGAGGGGGGATGACAGGGGTCTGTGGGGCCATGGGGGCTGGTACCTTGCGAGTAGTCGGTGGGGACTAATGTGAGAGATGGGGCTTCCCGCTCTGGTCTCTTTCCTCTCCAGCAGGCCCAGGATGCTGTGAGAGTACAGGTGGGGGGTCTTTCCTGCAGGGTTGTACACACAGGAAGCAGGCCGCTATAGGACATCGGACATTCCCACCTTTCCAGGTGGCTTCACTCCCCCCGTCACTTTGTCTGAAATTCACAGACCTTAAAGCCTTAAGCACTTTTCACTTAACATGTTTTATTATTTTTAATATATATTTATTGATTTCAGAGAGAAGAGAGACACATCAATGACAAGAGAGAATCATTAATCAGCTGCCTCCTGCACATCCCACTGGGAATTGAGCCAGCAACCAGAGCATGTACCCTGACCGGGAATTGAACGATGACCTTCTGGTTTATAGGTCGACGTTCAATCACTGAGCTATGCTGGCGGGGCTCACTTAACATGTTTTAAACACCCACTGTAAGCCAGGCACTGTGCTAGGCACTGGTAACAGTGGCAAGTAAAAGAAATATGTGCCTTGCCCTTTGGTGCTTGTACCCACATAAGAATTATGGGCACTCAACCAGACAGATGAAGTTATATAAGCATTGCAAAGTTTAAGAAGAAACTTATCTAGAAACTTTTAAGTTTGTCATCACAGATATTAATTAGCTCATGAATGCTATTTGGTTTGGAGATTTCCCACAAATTAGAAATTTTTTACACAAAGTGTTTATGAAATTAAACAAATTGTAATCTATAACTTGCTCATTGTTTCAGTAGTGTGGGCTAAGTCCTAATTGTCATCTGAACATCAAAGAAGGGTAAAGACAAACTTATTGTAGAAATTCCCTCAAAACTGACTTGAGAGGTGGGGACTGTGAGATGGGGAGACAGAATCAAGGAGCAGACGTCTCCTCCCAGTGAGGGTGACTGGGACTGAACCTCACCTCAGGCTCTGCCCGTCTACCTCCCAACCCACTGACCCCAACCCCTGAACTTCTGATCCCACCCTTCCCAGCACCCCATCCTGGCGGCCGGCCAGACCTGAGAGAGACATGAGGACATTGTTGATGGAGTACACCCAGGTGGTCCGGCTAGAAAAGAGCTGCAGAGAATGGGGGAGACAGCTCCTGTAAGACCTCAGCCACCCCCAGCTCCAGCCCCGCCCTTGACCCACCCTGGGAGCACCCTTCACCATCTCCAGCGTGGCCTCCTGATCATTCCGGTTCAAGATGAAAATGCCTTCCTCTGCCCCTAGGATCAGGTGCTGGTCTTGGGGGAAAGACACAAGGACACTAGGACCTGCCTTATCCTGGGGGACCTCCCAAACCCCCACCTGTCTGGAGAACACTAGCACTCTGACTCCCAGCCCTGACCCTCAGCTCTTATTCCCACCCCCACAACAGTACTCCCAGCCTGTCCCCAATCTGAATTGAAACCCTGATCCAATCCCTCTAACTGGTCTCATTCACACCTTCCTCTGGCTTCCCACATTCTGGTAGTTCTTTCATCTCTGAACCACAAATCCTGGCCCTCTGTCCCCTCAGTCCTGACCAAACATTAGACACGCCTCTCCTAAAAGCCCTCTGAATTCTGTTCCTCTCTTCCCTCCCTAGTTCTAGACACTGAAGGCTAATCCTGTCTCAGCACTGATCCTCAAACTCAGGCCCTCTTAAATATAATAGCTTTTTCTGTTCAATGACACTCCCCACACTCTATGCTTTTTTTTTAACCTCTCATTGACTTTGTCTCTACATCTCTGATCCCCAAACTCTATCCCTCTCTGTTATATTCTAATCCCTAAAACTCCCAATCCCAAAATTCTGACTTTACTCTCTCTACCATTAATCTTCAACAGGTTAATGGAGTTAATGGGGTCCAACTGTCCCCCATCTTATATCCCAAAGTTTGACCTTTCTGCTGTAACTAATTCTCATGGCCACCAATCCCTAATATTGCTAGTTTTCACTTTCAAACTCATCTTCCAGCCTACCATCTTTAACCCCCAAATGCCACTGTAGCTCCAGGCTCTGTCCCTGCCTCAGCTTGGCCACTCCACACCCTATTAAGCCCCTTCCTAGTCCTTGACTTTGACCTCCCTTTAAAGTCCCTCCCCATCCCACCATGCTCTCTGTTACCCTCCTAAATGCCCACCCTTGGTGGAGGGGTGTGTCCAGGCGGCCGTGCTGTGGATCCGGAGGGGGCAGCCATTGAACAACTTCACAAGAAGGGCACATCCCTGGGCAGGTCATGGGGAGCAGAGAAGGAGATTCAGCACAAAAAAAAAAAAAAAAAAAAAAGAGAGAAGTGGACGGGAAGTGCAGTGGTTAAGGCTTTGGAACAAGAGTGCCAGTGTTCAGATTGTGCCTCCTGAAAGGTTTATGACCTTGGCAGGCTACATGACCCTCTCTACCTCAGTTTATCCTCTGTGAAATGGGAGATAATATCTACCTCTAATTGTAAAGTTTACACCATGTAAAGACATGAGGTTAGTACCTGGCACAGAGGAACTGCTCTACAAATGTCACTTATCATTAGTCTTTCCACTCCCACCCCCACCCCCGCCAGCATCCCCAGTCCCATCTAGAGGTGTGAGTCCTCACCTTTCTCTTCATCTTTTCCTTCTTGGGGGGCAACCGTGGGGGCTGGTCAGACTGCTGAGGGGTTGGGTTCCAGAGTGAGGGCTCTGAGACAGGATTGGGGATAATCAGTCCCCAAAGCTCCCCCACCCCTACCCACCTCCCACCCCAGCCTGCCCTGTTACCTGAATGGGCAGTTAGATGGGGACTCCTGGTGGCTGGGGGAGGTCCGACATGGGGGGTGCGTGGGGGAGGCCCACTGGCACACCGGACCAGCACCCCCGGGCTCAGCTGACCCTCCTCCCCAGGCACCCCAAGACCCTCGTCCGATGGAGAACGGAACTTGGGCTTTGGAGGCAGAGAAGTGGAGCAGGAGACATTAGATGATCTCAGAAAGAGAGGGCACCCTGCCATACCAACCTGCCTAGGCTACAACGGAAATGTGGCCATAGCTCTGACCCTTCCCACAATGTCCTACCACCGCTCCAACCTCCCCTCCACCCCGCCCCGTCAATAGACTTCAGCAACTAAAGGATTAATGCTGGGTAACCAGCTACTGACCAGTGTCCATCAGGCTAAATATTTTGAATCACACCTGTGGATTCATGGATGCCACTCCCATACCCCAATATGCTCATTGTCCCATCTCCCAGATTTCAAAGGACCTGATGTCCCAGACTACAGCCCTAGAATGTCCAGTATCCCAGCTTCTAAGGACCCTAAACTCTTGGCTCCCAAACCCCCAGCTCTTGACTAGGACCTCACCTTGGGGGGCAGTGGAGGAGGTGTGTCCTCTGAAGGGGTGGGGCTAAAACAAAAAGACAGGGTAAGCAGGTGGGGGTATGGAAAACAAGGATGGAGTGGTTTGGGGCTGGATATCTGAGGTCTGAAGGGTCAGGGGTGACTTGGTCTGTGATGGAGCTGAAGACTAAAGAACTAATTAATAATCATCATGACAGCCCAGCCTGTGTTGCTCAGTGGTTGAGTGTTGACCTATGAACCAGAAGGTCATGGTTTAAGTCCGGTTAGGGCACATGCCCAGGTTGTGAGTTCAATCCCCAGTAGAGGATGGGCAGGAGACAGCCGATCAATGATTCTCTCATCATCAATGTTTCTATCTCTCTCTCTCATCTCCCTTCCTCTCTGAAACCAACAAAAATATGTATTTTTTAAAATAATAATCATGATGACAATAACAACAGCAACTCTTGGAGATCAAGTGCTGTCAAGGCATCAAGTCTAAATCTTCAGAGCCACCTAGCAACACAGATCATCTGAGCTCCTGGGGGTTAGGTGCCTACAGGGTGCCTGGAGCCACATGTGAGCCCATTACAGCATGATGGGAGCCCTGAGGCTGACGCTGGGCCTGTGGACTGGGGTTGAAGTTGGGGTCCAGGCCCAGGGTCTAGTCTAACATGGGGAAATTCCCACGGACCAAGATTCAGTCAGGTTTTGTGAGATGAGAAAAGATGAAGGCCTGTAGTTGAGGGTTGCAGCTGCAGTTGAAATCTGGGGGTTGGAGCAACGTCTGGGAAGAGCAAAGGGTCCAGGGCTGAGCTGGATAGATGGGGAAAGAGCCCTGGCTGGAGCAGAAGGACATTCTGGAAGAAACTGGGGTTGAGGGCAGGTGGGGGCTGAAGTTGGGAGTCAGATCAAAAGTCCTATAAAAAGTTGGAAGAAAGATGGGTTTGGGGGTCAAGGGAATGAGTTTGGGTGGGGCTAAGGAGAAATAGAAACATCAATGAAGGAGAGTGAGAGCCGGGCAAGGGGTCAGGTTGGGGTCATAGGTTGGGAGTGAAGGAAAGTGGGGGCTCCTTCATGTACTGAGGGTCCAGTCAGGGGTCAGGGATGAGTGGTGGAAAGACAGTAGGGACTGAGGTTGGGGTCAAAGTGGGAGCAAGGCAGGGGCTGCAGGAAGGCAGGGGCTGGGTGAAGGCCTGAGGAGCTGAGGGCCCAGCCTCTCTTACATGTCCACGTCATCGTAGTCATCATCAGACTCCGACAGGTGCCTCCTGAGGAGTGACAGGCATAAGCCTCAGGCAGTTCCCACTTACATCCAAACCCCTTCCCTCCCAGCCTTCGGGTCCCTGACCTAGGACTGCTGCTCCTGAAGTCTGCAGGGGGCTGCAAGCGAGCCTGTGGGAAGTAAAGGGTCAGCAGTGGCCTAGGCAAAGGGGAGGGTGTTTGGGGCCAGACAGTTGGGGGAAAGGGCATCTCACAGTGTCAGCTGCAGGTCTGGACTCCATTGCTCTGAGCTTCCTGAATTCCATGTGTCGTCCTGGAGGTTGGGGGTGGGAAGGTGAGGTAACACAGTGAGCTGGGGAGATGGATTCAGAATCAGACTAAAATTGGGAGTTTGGATTGGAGCTGTTCCTTAAAGGGAAGTATCTTGGTTTACAGGGACCACGGTTTGGGATTAGGGAGGTAGGGCTAAAGTAGTAATAGAGTGTTCAATTTCAGATCCCATTGGGCATCAGGGGTCTACCATATTTCTGAGGTCTCTGGGGGTCAGGTGGTAATGGGAAGTGTGAAGGGGTCTGTTTGCAGGTCAGAGCAGTGGGGGCCCCTAGAGTCACCTTGTAAGTCAGTAGTAATGAGGCTCAGGGGTCTCTGAGGGTCTGTTTGGAAGTGGTGAGTGATATAGGAGTGAAGGGGGTCTCTTGGATCTATTTTAGGGCCAAGAGTTCCCAAGTTTGAGGCCTCTCTACTCACGACAGCAGTCTGCATCTGGAACCCCCAGGGAGCTGGATCGGTGGGTGGATCTGATCCGCCGAGGGATGGCAGGGGGTGGCTGGGCAGAGTGGCAGCTGTATCAGGCTGGTGGGCCCAGCCTGGAGCCCTTGCCCCTCCCATAACCTCTGTGCCCCCAGACCTGTGCCAAGCCCACCATCCTCCCTCCCATTTATCCTTGCAAGAGTCACTCCAGGCAGGGGGCCTGGCCTGAGCAAAATCTGGGAGGTTCCAGGGCTTCTGTCTGCCAGGACCCCTCACCTCAGGCTCCTCATCTTCAGTCTCACCAACAGGAATCCCCTTCCCTGGGTTCCTCAGTTTGTCAAGAAGATCCAGGATCAGGCCTCTATTTAGCCCTGGCTGGGATACCAGTTGATGCTGGGGGATGGGGAGGAGGGGGTCAGCAGGCAGACAGCTGGTGTGAAGGGAGAGGTTGGAACAGGGGCAGGGGAGCCTGCCTAGGGGAACAGAGGGAGAAAGCAGGAAACTCTGGGGAACTGGCAGAAGACCAGAGAATGCTGAGGAGTCTGAAGTTACTAAACTAATTCAAGGATCCTGGTGGGGGGGCTCGGAAGATTCCATTCCAGTGTACACCCAGGAATGGGTCTTGAGGCTCTTGGGAATTTGTGAGTTTTAACAACTCAAGATATCTTGGAAAAGGGTTTGGTACAAGTTGGAGGGTTTTAGGGGGCATCCTGGGGAATTCTGAAGGACCGGGAACGCTGAGAGGGCCATGGGGTTCTGGAACTAAACCGTCAATGTTCTGGAGAGCCATGTGGCCCTGGGGAATTCTGGGGTGAGAATTTGGGGAGGGTTTGGGGGAGGGGTGGTTTACACTGAGCATCTTGGTGGCGCTGGGTCGTTTCTTGGGGCTCTTGGTGAGGGAGACTTTAACAAAGTTGTGGAAGGCAGCAGACCTTGGAAGAAAGAAGCCAAGTTCTGGGGTGAGGGACCAGAGACATTTCCCATCAGACCATCAACCCTGGCTCTGCCCTCCCTCTCACCACTTCCTCCTACCATTTGCCTTTTTCCTTTAGCCGGGGAGGCTGATAGCCACTCTTGGTCATGAGGAAGAGAACTCTACAAGAAAAGGAGAGTACATGGAGCTCAGACTCCCAGTGGGGGGCGAGGGACCCTCAATAGCACTGAAGTCAGCAGAGAGCAAGTGAGGGACAGAATGAGAATGAGGCTTAGGTTTTACTACCACCTCCAGGGAACACCACATTTCACATTATAGAGCTATGGGAGTCGCAGAGAGAGACTCAAGATGGGGATCCCTGAGTTGGGGGTTCCTGGTATGGAGGACTAGAAAAAAAGGCTTTCTGAGTTGAGAGGATCCTTGGGGGTCTCAGGCTGGGTTTGCAGGAAATGGGGGCTCTCCTATAGGACAATCTTGATGTGGGGAAGCAGGCGGGTGGGGGTGCTTAGAAGCAGGGCTGGGTGGAGTCTCTAGGCCCTGGGGGGGCACCACACTGCTTACCTGAGAGGGTGCACATCGAAGAGCGGTGGCTGTAGCTCGGCTAATTCTATGGCTGTGATGCCCAGAGACCAGATGTCACACAGCTCATTGTATCCGCCCTTCAGGGCAACGGCAGCCACTTCTGGAGCCATCCTGGGGGCAGAGACCCGAAGCGAGCCGGGGTGACATAAGGAGGGGAAGGGAGACTCCTTGGTGAGGGAGTTGGGGAATAGACACAAAAAGAGAGAAGAGAGTGGAAAATAGAAACAGGTGCACAAAGAATCAAAGATGGAGAGAAAGAGACAGGTGGAAAACACTGAGAGAGACAGAGTGAGGGAGATAGGAACATAGAGACAGGGCCACACTAAGACAGAAAAAAGGACAGATGGAGAGAGATCAGGATAAAAATCAACACAAACGCTAAAGGAAAAACTCAAGATAGAGAGCTGAAGGGAAGATAGAATATTCAACAGAGGTTGGGAGAAGGAGCCAGAAGAAGAGATGGGGAGGAGGGGAGCTGCTGCCCCTCACTCTACCCCTAGCTGCCTGCCAGGCACCCTCACCAGTAAGGTGTCCCAATGAAAGAGAGGCGTCGAGCCAGCGTTGCCCCGATCTGAGCTGAGATACCAAAGTCGGCTGGAGGTAAAGGGGAGAGACAGTGACCTAGGGTCCTCTCGGGCCCTAGCCAGTCCACCTCCTCAATCCCCAGCCACACTCACCCAGCCTGACCTCCCCAGAGTCATTGATGAGGATGTTGGCTCCCTGGGGACAGAGGAGAGATTAGAGGCTATCAGAGACCACCACCCCTACCCCTGCCCCACAGCTCAATGCCCTCCAAACACCACTCCTGCCTCCTGCCCCTCCCCCCAGGCCACCTTTCTGCCCCTAGACCACCTTAATGTCCCGGTGTATCTTCTTCTGTGAGTGCAGATAGGCCAGTCCCTGGGAAGGGGTACACAAGGAGGCTGTGAGAGCCTGGGGGCTAGAGCAGGGACCTGCCCCACCCAGGCCTCTCCTCACCTGGAGAACTTCTCGGCAGATGTAGCTGATCTGGAGCTCTGAGAGGGAGCCTGTCACTGCAAAGGTCACCCCAGCACAGGGTTGGCTGGGAATTAGGAAACCTGGCCCAAGAGCCCCTGGTCCCGCCAAACTGGCTGAGAGGGTGCTATGTGAGGAGTGGGGTATGGTACAGGATGGGACAAGGGGGGCCGGGGAACCAAGGGGTGGTTAGCAACAGAGAGGCAGCAGGGAGCCAGGAGTCAGATGGAGACAGAAAGTCACTCAACAGACATTGACTGTGTGTTTATTATGTGATAGGCACTAGGGACACAGCTGCCCTCACAGAAAGAACATGCCTGTGGGGAAGACCAACAGTAAACCAGATAAATAGGTAAAATATTCAGTATACAAGATGCTAATAAAAATAAGAAAAAGCAAGAATGAACAGGAAATGTGTGGGAAGGCTACGACATTTTACTCAGGCTGGTCAGCGAAGGCCACGCTGTGAAGGTGACAGGATGAAGTTGTGAGCAGTCCTGCTTGGAGAAGAGACAAAGCCAGTGCAGAGCTGGGAGGCGGGAATGCCTGGTGGGTCTGGAAAGCAGCAGTGAGAGGAGCCATGGGGAGATGAGGCTAGGCCGTGCAGCCTGGGGCTCAGTGATGTCAGACTCATGGCCATGATGAGGAGCTTGGGATTTTTGGAGGGAAATGGAGGCCCAAGGAAGGCTCTGAGCAGGGAGTAATAGGACTTTACAAAATGAGGAAAGGCAGACAGACAGACAGACACAGACAGAGAAGCAGGAATAGATCCAAAGTGAGACAGAAAGAAAGATGGTCAGAGACCAAATAGTGGAAAGAGAGACACAGGGTGGAGAGGGAACAACAGAGAAAGGCATTCAGAGACCAGGTCTGACAGTCTTGCTGTCTGAGTCATTTCCTCTCTGTGGGCCTCAGTTTCCCCCCACTGAGGACTTTTTAATGAAGTCCTTCCTTTTCTAACACTTGAGGTGTTGGGATGGAGGAAGACAGGGAGATGGTCAAAGATAGAAGTAGGCATCAGAGCTGAAACCGGTTTGGCTCAATGGATAGAGCATCGGCCTGCGGACTGAAAGGTCCCAAGTTCGATTTTGGTCAAGGGCATGTACCTTGGTTGCGGGCACATCCCCAGTGTGGGGGGTGCAGGAGGCAGCTGATCCATGATTCTCTCTCATCGATGTTTCTAACTCTCTATCCCTCTCTCTTCCTCTCTGTAAAAAACCAATAAAATATATTTAATTTAAAAAAAAAGAAGTAGAAGAAATGGGCATCAGAAATTGAGAGGTGGCCGAAACCGGTTTGGCTCAGTGGTAGAACGTCAGTCTGCGGACTGAAAGGTCCCGGGTTTGATTCCGGTCAAGGGCATGTACCTTGGTTGTGGGCACATCCCGGTAGGGGGTGTGCAAGAGGCAGCTGGTCGATGTTACTCTCTCATCGACATTTCTAGCTCTCTAGCTCTCTCCCTTCCTCTCCCTAAAAAATCAATAAAATATATTAAAAAAAAAAAAAAAGAAATTGAGAGGTGATCACAGGCTACTCCACCCTATTCTCAAATTCTCCAAGACAGCGAAAGCAGGATGAGAGAATCACTCATTCAATGAAAATATGGGCACCTACGATGAGCCAGAAATGCAGAAATACTCAAATACAAATAAACCTTGGTGAGAAAATGCAGACACAGAGGAAGCTGAGGAAGAGGCTCTGGACAGAATGTAAATCAGATGCAGAAAGATTGGGACTATCAGGTTTTGGAGGGGAAGGCCCAGGGCCCAACGGAGGAGCTCACTATGTAAAATGTGGACCAGAATAACAGTTCCAGGACACACAAACACAGACAGTCAGAAGAGGTGGGTTGGAGGGCAGGGGCTGCCTGGGTCCCTTGCTCTTCTCTCACCTTGGTAGATGTCCTGAAGAGAACCGGCCCCACAGAATTCCATGCAGATCCAGAACTTTTGCAGCCTACAACATTCAACAGCAGTAATAATAATAATAATAGCAGTGATAAGTTATTATTTATTGGACAGCCCCTGGCTCATTGTCTTGCTCTGACATTTTTGGTGGTTGTTTTTTTTTTTTAATTCTCACCAAAGGGTATATTCACTGACCTTTAGAGAAGGGGAAAATGAGATATATATAGGGGATATATATATATATATATATATATATATATATATATGGAGAAAGAGAAAGAGGGAAACATTGATCAGTTGCCCCTACCCCCACCTCATTGCCCTGACCCCTGGCCAAAGATTGAATTGCAATCCAGGCAAGTGTCCTGACCAAAAGCCACACCAGCCAGGGCTCTGATCTTTTAATGTAACAGTAGTCATCTCTAACTTTCCTTGCCCACAGAGTGAAATCATCCTACTTCCATTTTATAGATGGGGAAGTTGAGGCTCAAAGAGGAAATACATATTCATGATCAACTGGACTCAAACCACATCTTTGGCTCCTAATCCAGGGCACCCTCTGGTCTCTCATGCTAAGGTAGAAGTCAGAGTAAAGGTCTCAGAGGTTGCCAAAACCGGTTTTGCTCAGTGGATAGAGTATCAGTCTGTGGACTGAAGGGTCCCAGGTTCGGTTCTGATCAAGGGCGTATACATTGGTTATGGGCACATCCCCAGTGGGGGTTGTGCAAGAGGCAGCTGATCAATATTTCTCTCACCAATGTTTCTAGCTTTCTATCCCTCTCCCTTCCTCTCTGTAAAAAATCAATAAAATATATTTTTAAAAAAAAAAAAAAAAGATCTCAGAGGTTGAGGAAGTTAGAAGGGACACAGAGGCCCAGAGTCCAGGTCTGAGGGACAGAGTCATTATTGGAACAACTGGAGTAATGTGGGGGTCAGGTAATTCAGAGGTTCACGTTAAATGAACAGAGAATGAAACTGGGGAAACCAGAGGATGAAAGGTTTGGTTACTATGAAGAGGTCGATTTTGGGACCCCTGGTCCCAAATTGAAGTTTAAGATTAGGGGGTGCTCTGGTCAGAAATGTAGAACTTTGGGCTGGGGATTAAGTTAGGGGTAACTCAATTAAAATAAGGGTCCAGGACAAAAGGTTAGGGGGCACCCTGGTTAGAAGTGGGGGTCCTGAGATAGAGGGCAAGTCTTAGGCTCATCACCAGAGATAACTCCCGTGGTAGGCCACAATGTTGGCATGCCGGCAAGTTTTCAAGATGAGGATTTCCTTCTGAAGTGTGGAAACATCATCATCTGCAAAGAGGCCAGGAGAGAAAGTTCCACTGCAGGGAAGGCTGATGGGGGGAGCCCAGTGTCCTAGGAAGCCGGTGGGGTGTGGGGAAGGATCTCCTGGGACCTCTCCTCACCAGGCTCCATCTTCACCATCTTCAATGCCACCAGGTCCCCCGTCACCTTGTCTCGAGCCTTGTAAAAGGGAAGTTGACAGTCAGGCTGTCTCCATTCCCCTGAATTGCTCTTCAGCATGCCTGCGCACCATCAAAGCCTGGGACCCTCTCTCATCCCCTCCCCTCTTGGGCTTCACAAAGGCCGCTGGTTGGAGAGTGATGGAGAAGGAGGGGGCTCCTCACCTTGAAGACTTCTCCATAGGTGCCACCACCCAGCCGCTGAAGCAGGTCATAGTGGTCCCGAGGGTCCCTATTAAAGATGTCAGGGTCCACGAGGTCCATTCCTGGGAGCCGGAGCTGGGCCTCCGCCCAGGGGCCAGCAGGGCCTCAGGGCTGGAGTGCTGGCACCTCCCTCCCTCCCCACACACCCTGCACCCGCCTTGCCTCCACCGGCTGTGGCCTCCCCCTTCCCCACTCTCGTTTCCTGCCCCAGCGCAAGGCTGTGCAGCCAGCTCCACCCCCAGTCCCCTGGGCCCTGAGAACCTGTTGGGACAGCTTGCCTTGGGACCCACGGGACCCCTCTCCACCTTCAGGGCCCTGGACAGAATGTAAATCAGATGCAAACTATCTTAAGTGTGTCCTGATGGGTACCTCAGCACCCCATCCCCCATTCTGGGTGGTGGCTAAAAACCACAGTTGAACCTCTGCTGAGTGCATGAGAGTTTGGCCACAACCCAGAGATGGCAGTCTGTACAGGGAGCCGGAGCTGGGCCTGATCACTCAGTGTACATTACTGTTCACCTTGGGCACAGACATGCACTTAGTGGAACCCCCCTGTGTGCAGAACAACCCGACATGCACATGCCTGGATACACATGTGCACACATGTGGGTGTACCTAGACCAACAGCGAGGGTAAAAGCTTAGTGTAGCCCAATGGGCTGAGTTGTTGTGTTATATACCTCCACTTATATAACACATGCCTGTACATTCATGCCTTCAGTGTTTAGAATCTGTATCCACATAACTTATGACCACACCTGGAGAGCTCGCTTTCACCCAACATACTTCAGGTGCAAATCTGCGGGGTTCCGGAGTCCTTCATCCCTGCCCCTCCTGGGCAGACCATTCCAACAGCTTTGCGTGGCGCGGGGGGGGGGGGGGGGGGGGGGCGGCGAACCCCTGGAATTCGGGTGGAGCACGGGGAACAGTTTCAGGCTTTGAAACTGCGGAGCTCAGGATACTGCTGCGGTCCAAGGCTGGGGGGAAGAGCGTGGATCACGGCTCAAACAGAGGACTGCTACGTGCATTCCGACAGTTTTGTAAGTTCAAGGAGGCGAGCAACGCGACGTGCGCGCACACCGCGGAGGCTCGCCCCTGCTAGCGGGTCCGCGCGCGGCCTGAGGCCTGGGGCACGCCCCGGCGCCAGCTCAGCCCCGCCCGGCGCCGGCGGCGCCCGCGCATGGCTCCACCGAGCGCTCCCTCTGTGGGACCAGTTCGGGTGCAGAGTGTGCGCACGCGCCGACGGCGGCCGCGGGAAGAAATCACATGGCAGCCGGAAAGCCTGGCGGCCGCCGCGAGAACCTCCCCGCTTCAGCGCCTAGGGGCTGGAGCGAAACTACGACGTATTTCCGTTTCCGCCATCGCTTCCTTTTCCGGTCCCCTAGGACGCCGCACCGGCCGGTACCGCGGCTCCATTCCCCGGGTGGGAAGCGACTGCAGGCATGGCCATGTTCGAGCAGATGAGAGCGAACGTGGGCAAGCTGCTCAAGGGCATCGACAGGTCTGAGCCTGGTCGGAGGGAGAGCGGGGCCGCGAGGGGGTGGTCAGTCCTGGGCTTGCCCTGGGTGGGATTTTCCAGTCTTCGGGGGGAGATGTTTAAGGAAAACAGCATTGCAAGCGTCTAGAGGCGGGAGATAACTTTGCCTTGTCTCCCCTCTTTAATTGTCTTAAGGCCTCAGCCCCTCAGTTTTCCTCTCAACTGACAGTGCTCTTCATCTACCTTCTTTTCTCATATCATTTATTCAACACATGTTCACTGTCAGCGCCAGGCAACGTTGGGGACCAGAAGTGACCAAGACAGCCCCTGCCCAGGCTTTCATGGAGTTCCCAGTTCAGAGTCACGACAAAACCGTCAGTAGATAGGATAGCTGAGGGCGGTCAGAGCTGCGATGGGGGAAGCACAAGCAGATTGGTCAGAACTGGAATGGGAGAAGCTAGAGCGGAGAGGATGGGGCTGGACAGGGGTGAGATCTTGAGAAGGGAGGAAGCAGTGTGTGTCAGAGATGTCTGGGAGCCCAGGTATACAGGTTGGGATGACTGATTGTCTCAGGTTGGGGAAGCATCCTAGGCATTAGACCCCGGGCTCAGGTCTGATATACGGGTAAGATAAGGGAAGTAAAGGAGGAAGGAGCAGGTTACTGTGCCCACACCCCATCCTTAAAAAAAGTAACTGGCTCAGCTCCTGTCTCCTCTCTGCTCATCCATCTTGATTCTTCTCTAGATACAATCCTGAGAATCTGGCCACCCTGGAGCGCTATGTGGAGACACAGGCCAAGGAGAATGCCTATGACCTGGAAGCCAACCTGGCTGTCCTGAAGCTGTGAGTGTCTGCCTCTAACCCCAGTCTCATGCCAGTGACCAGCAAGGTAGCACTTCCAACACTGGGTGGTACAGGAGTAGGGGGTAGCCTACAGCATGAAGCATCTTGGTGTGCAAAACTAGGAATCCAAGGAAGTTAGAGCAGGAGGATAGATGTGTGTTCTTTTTTAATATATTTTATTGATTTTTACAGAGAGGAAGGAAGAGGGACTGAGAGTTAGAAACATCAACCTGGGACTCTTCAGACTGCATGCTGATGCTCTCTTTCCACTGAGCCAAACCAGTTAGGGCAGAATGGATTTTTTAAAAAATATATATTTTATTGATTTTTTACAGAGAGGAAGAGAGAGGGCTAGAGAGTTGGAAACATCGATGAGAGAGAAACATCTATCAGCTGCCTCCTGCACATCCCCTATTGGGGATGTGCCCGCAACCAAGGTGCATGCCCTTGACCGGAATCGAACCTGGGACCTTTCAGTCCACAGGCCGACGCTCTATCTACTGAGCCAAACCAGTTTCAGCAGAATGGATGTTTTTAAAAAGTTAATTACAGCCAAGTTTGGCTTAGTGGGTAGAGCGTTGGCCTGCGGACTGAAAGGTCCCAGGTTCAATTCCGGTCAAGGGCATGTACCTTGGTTGCGGGCACATCCCCAGTGGGGGGTGTGCAGGAGGCAGCTGATGTTTCTGTGTCATCGATGTTTCTGACTCTCTATCCATTTTCCTCTCTGTAAAAAATCAAAATATATATATATATATATATATATATATATATATATATATATATATATATATATTTTTTTTTTTTTTTTTTTTTTTTTTTTTTAAGTTAGTTACAGAACACACATACAGGCTAGTACATAAATATACGTAGTTGGCTCTCCATATCCACAGAATCCACATCAGTGGAAAGGTTGAAAACATTCCCCTAAAACTGTGATGTTGCTGATGTACTGTGTAGTTATACCTACTATGTTTATATCTATATTAAACATGTATAAACGTTTTTCTTGTTATTCTCTAAACCCGTGGTCACCAAACTCTGCTCTCAAGCCACATGCGGCTCTTTGGCCCCTTGAGTGTGGCTCTTCCACAAAGTATCATGGCCTGGGTGAGTCTGTTTTGAAGAAGTGGCATTAGAAGTTTAAAAAATTCGGCTCTCAAAAGAAATTTCATTTGTTGTACTGTTGATATTTGACTCTGTTGACTGAGTTTGTTGACCACTGCCCTAAACAATACAATAGTATAACAACTATTTACATGGTATGTAATTGTATTGGGTGTTATAAGTAATCAAGAGGTGGTTTAAAATGTATGAGAGGAACTCTAGCTAGTTTGGCTCAATGGATAGAGTGCCGGCCTGTGGACTCAAGGGTCTCGGGTTCAGTTGCAGTCAAGGACATGTACCTTGATGCAGGCTCGATCCCCTGCCCTGGTTGCTGTGCAGGTAGGAGGTAACCAATCAATGTGTCTCTCTCACATCCATGTTTCTCTGTTTCTCACACTCCCTCCTATTCTCTCTACTAAAAATCAGTGGAAAGATATCCTCGGATGAGGATTAACCAAAAAGTAAAAATGTGTATGAGAGGACGTGCATCGGCTATATGTAAATGCTGCACTTTTTATGTAAGGAACTTGGGTCTGTGGATTTTGGCATGCACAGGGGGCCCTGGAACCAAGCCCTGGTGGATACCAAGGGATTGCATATTGTTTAAGAAGTATTTATAAATTCATCCATATTATCACCATCCATATTGCAAAACTGAGTGTTGTTAGCAACTCAGGCCCTTTGCCCTACATGTTTTATGTCAGTCACACCTACTGCCCACCCTCGCAACCACTCTTAGGTTCTTTTTTTTTTTTTTTAAATATATTTTATTGATTTTGTACAGAGAGAAAAGGAGAGAGATACAGAGTTAGAAACATCGATGTGAAAGAGTCATCAATCAGCTGCCTCCTGCACACCCCCCACCGGGGATATTGCCCGCAACCAAGGCACATGCCCCCAACCAGAACCGAACCCAGGACCCTTCAGTCCCCAAGCTGACGCTCTATCCACTGAGCCAAACCGGTCTCGGCCACTCTTAGGTTCTTTTTTTTTTTTTTTTAATATATATTTTATTGATTTTGTACAGAGAAGGGAGAAATAGAGACTTAGAAACATTGATGAGAGAGAGTCATCGATCAGCTGCCTCTCGCACACCCCCTACTGGAGATATGCCTGCAACCAAGGTACATACCCTTGACCGAAATTGAACCTGGGACCCTTCAGTCCTCAAGCCGACGCTCTATCCATTGAACCAAACCGGTCCCAGCCACTCTTAGGTTCTAATGGCCTGACTTAATGTGAGTTTGCCACACATGCATGCATCCTGATCGCCTTAGCTCAGGTTTGCCTGTTTTGCGCTCTGGGCCCCACCCTCCCTTAAACTTGATGCAATTGGAGTCCTCCAGAACAAGTCCTGCATCTGGCTGCTTCTACTGAGCACTGGATTAATGAGGTCCAGCCATTTTCTGTGGCTCAGTTTTTATCTGTTTTCCTGTAACAGACGTTTGGGTTCCTCTCCTTCAGTACTTTATTGGCACACAGCTGTATAATTTTTACGATTGGGTAGCTTCAGTTTTAACATCTGTACAATAGATGTATTTATAGGGTTGTTTAGGTTGTTACTGGTGATCACTACCACCATGTGGTAGTTGCTATGCTATAAGCTTTGCATGTATTAACTCACTTAAATGCTGTATTGTCCTTGTGAGGTAGTTATGGTTGCAATTGCCCCATTTTGCAAGGAAAAAACTGATAGACAGGATTTAAATTAAGTCCATGGTGCCCTAACCGGTTTGGCTCAGTGGATAGAGCATCGGCCTGCGGACTGGAGTCCCAGGTTCGATTCCAGTCAGGGGCATGTACCTTGGTTGTGGGCACATCACCAGTGGGGTGGTGTGCAGGAGGCAGCTCATCGATGTTTCTAACTCTATCCCTTCCTCTCTGTAAAAAAAAATCAATAAAATATATTTTAAAAAATAAAATAAGTCCATGGTCACTCAGCAGGAAAGTTTAAACCCAGGCATTCTGGTTTCAGATTCCTAAACCACTATTTGAGACTTCTCTCTGTATTCATTTACTGGTATTTGTGAATCAGTTAACAGTATCTTGTCTTATTGGGTGGTTATGAAAATTAACTGTCCTTGTTGACAGAGCAGGAAAGTAGGGTCAGGGAGGTCATGTAGCCAGAGAATCTGTGGTTGGCATTGGAGCCCACGCATGCATAGTTCCCATGCTCTGGGCCAAAGCAGTGTGTACCCTGCCTCACACTGGTGAGGCTTCTGGGGCCTGGAGATGCCACCTGTTGCTGTGTCTCTTTGTTTCCCTTCTCAGGTACCAGTTCAACCCAGCCTTCTTTCAGACCACTGTCACTGCTCAGATCCTGCTAAAGGCCCTCACCAACCTGCCCCACACGGACTTCACCCTTTGCAAGTGCATGATCGACCAGGCCCATGTATCCTTCTAGTTCTTGGGCTCACATGTGTGTGGGAGGAGGCAGGGGCAAGAAAGATCATTTCCCTGGGAAATGGTCTGTGAGTTTAGTCACACTTGAGTGCCTGCTCTGGGCTTGGTCCAGTGCTGGGTAGGGCTGTCCTGTCCCATGTTAGTGACAGCCTCATGTATTCAAGCCTCAGGGTTAGAGATGCCAGAGGAGGCACCTGACCTTGCCTGGATGTTAGAGCTTCCTGGAGGAGAGACCATCTGAAAGATGAGAAGCTAGGTGAAGTGGTAGGGAAGGTGATCCAGGCAGAGGGAACAATATGTAGGGAGGCCGGGAGGAAAAGCTCGGTGCTGTCTTATAGAAGTTCAGCATAGCCATGCCATAGCTTTCAAAGTGGAATTTGGGAGGACACCAGGGAGCTGTAGAGTGATGGGGGTAGATTTATGCTTTAGAGAGATTCTCATGAGGATTCTAGTTGAGTAAAGACCACTAGGCCAGAGGCAGGAGGGGTTGGGGGCTGGGCACCAGGCAGAAGGCAGGAAGAGCTGGATTGTCAGCTAAACTTTATTTTATGTATCCTCATTGCCTGCCTAGCACAGTGCAGGCCTTCAATGAAAAACTTGAGTGAAAAATCAGTGAATTGGATCCCCTCACCTCCCCTTGCTTTTTTGTAGCTGATCTAGCACTTAACTAGGAAAGCCTCTAACTTGCCTTTAATTACTTGAGAAACTTGGCAGAGTCCCCCAACATGCTGGGCCCTGTGCTCACAGTGATCGCCATGCCAGGATTGTCACAACTCCTTGCCTGTTACTGGCTGAGCTGGGAAATGGCTGCTTACTCATTGAACCTGTTCTGCCAGGTGTGTCCATGAGAGTGCCTCCCTTCTGAGAGATTGTCCACCTTCTCCAGGGTTCTGTTATGATGGTTTAAAAAAAAAAAATACACAGGTGGCCGGGTGGGCTGGGCCAGGTGGGAGGGGAAAAAAAAAAAACAAAGAAAATTTATATAGGGGGAAAATGGCTTCTCTTCCCTATCCCACAGCTCCCCCTGTCCCCTCATAGGAGGCCACAATTGTTTGCTGTTCTTGGGGACCTTTCCACAGATATCCTGTAGCTACATAAGTGCAGCTGTGTATGTTATATTCACACTACATATAAATCGTGCACCTGTGGCCTGCACCCTCTCACAGTCTGACATCCTTAGCACTGTCATGGAGGCAGGGGAGGTTCCCCTTGCCAGCCAAGAGTCCAGCTTCTGGCTGAGCACCTCCCAACCCCACCCCCACTTCCATAGGAATACAGCCCCCTGGTGGTCAGTGTGTATCATAGTGACTGGTTCTGCATTTCGGTTGATTTGCATATTAGCTTTTTATTATATAGAAAAGGATATGTCCCCCACCCAAATTGTAAGCTGTTATGCACATTGTTCTGCATTTTTTTTTTTATGTCAGTGTGCTTACATTCTGTGGGAGTTGGCTCAGTCTCTGTGGACAGTCATTGATGTCCTTGTCCTCATCATTGGATGATTTGGTTGTCTCGCCTTTTGCCATTACGACCCGTGCTGCAGGGATCAGAGGTGGGTAAGGAGGGCTGGCTTAGGACTTCACAGTATGCTCCTTAGGCTCTAGGACCATTTTCCCTTAACGTTTTCCTCCAGCAAGAAGAACGGCCCATCCGACAGATTTTATACCTTGGAGACCTGCTAGAGACCTGCCACTTCCAGGCCTTCTGGGTAACTTCCCTTGGATCCAAGGGCAGGATGGGTGGCTGGGCCACACAGAGCGAACTGATAAAAGTAATGACCATGCCCATTACTGGCTTCCTATGTTTAGGGCTGTGCAAGCAGGATCTCACAGAATCGTGATCCTCACACAGAGCCAGGACTCCGAAGCTGTCCCCTGTGCCCACAGGGCTCAGGCATCCTTCCAGTATAAGTCCTCCATCACCTGAACTGCCCCCTTTCTTGTTCTAACTGAAACCAGATCCTCCACTTCTGCAGCTTTCTAAATGGGACCCACTGCCCTAGAATTTTCTTCAGCAATAATTTCTCCTTCCTCTGGCCATTAATGTTAAACATTTCCACTCTGACCACTTCCTCCTAGCTTTCCAACCCCCCCCCCCCCCCCCCGTGAGGTCTCCAACTGACATTCTTGGGCTGATCAGCACTCCAGTCCTTTGTTCTGTTTCCTCTTAGCAAAAGTCATGCATCCCTCCTCCCCCCTTTCCCTTCCCCCCTCCCACCACACACACACACACACACACACACACACACACACACACACACCTATATCTGATGTAACAGGCTGGAGAAAAAGCCACCCAGAGCAAGTGACAACCCAGATCTACAGTCCTCCACTCTTGGCCTAGGCTCTTGCCTCCACCCCCCCTCTCCAGTTTATTCCCTCCCCACTCACCTAGACAGCTCTTTTGACCTCCCCTCCCACCCCACCCTTTCTTCTCACCTCAATTTATAATCTGGTTGCTTGTTTTGTGGGGAAATAGAAGCAGCCAAAAACAGAACTTGCACATGTCCCTGGCCCTGACATGGCAGCTGACCGAGCACCTGCAGCTCTGAGGGTGGGTTGTCCCTCTTATGTCAGACCATCTGGTACACTGTCCTCTTTCACTTGCACCCACTCAGTGGTGTTACAATAGCAATTCTCCCTACTGTCTTGTAACATCAAATGTGGTCTTCCTGGATTATTTGTGTCACCATAGAACATGCCTACTCTGTAGTTCTAGCATAACAAAGAGCTATTGCCCCCACTGTGGTGGCTCAGCGGTTGAGCGTCAACCTATGAGCCAGGAGGTCACTGGTTAGATTCCCAGTCAGGGCACATGACTGGATTGTGGGCTTGATCCCCAGTAGAGGGAATGCAGGAGGCAGCCGGTCAATGATTCTCATCATTGATGTTTTTATTTTTAAAAGAGAGAGCTGTCCCTGACATCACATTTGCTCTGTCTTCTACCCTTTCTCTGCACCCCTTTACATCCACACTCTCGGCTAGGGGACTGGCTGCCCAGTTTGCCCAGGTCTTTCCAGGTTTTAAAACTGCAAATGTCACACCTCAAAACTTAGTTTCAGGCAGGTAGGGACTTTGGTCACCCTGCTTCTGGGACACATGGCCTATGGTCACTCTTCCCTGCTCACTTGAACTCACTCCAACCCTCTGACCTGCTCCCCAACACAAACACCATGAAACTTGTCGAGGTCAACAGTTGCTAGATTCAGTAGGCAGTTCTCAATCCCCCATCTTACCTCTCCTGTCAAATCCTTTAATCACTTGGCTTCCAAGACAACTGCGCGCGCGCTCGCTCGCTCTCTCTCTCTCTCTCTCTCTCTCTCTCTTTTTAATATATTTTATTGATTTTTTACAGAGTGGAAGGGAAAGAGATAGAGAGCTAGAAATGTCAATGAGAGAGAAACATCTACCAGCTGCCTCTTGCACACCCCCCATTGGGGATGTGCCTGCAACCAAGGTGCATGCCCTTGATTGGGACCATTCAGTCCGCAGACCGATGCTCTACCACTGAGCCAAACCAGTTGGGGCGACAATTGCTCTCTTGACTTTCCTCATACCTCACTGGCTACTCTTTGTCCTTGTGGCTTCCGCATTTCCCTCACTATTGTTGGAAGGTGCCTTTGCAGAGAAGATGACACATGAGTAGAAACCATGGGGGAGGAGAGGAGAGTTCCAGACGCAAGAACAGTCAGTGCAGCCTTGGCCAAGTAGCTCAGTTTGTTAGAGCTTCCTGGCCAAGGTTGGGGGTTCAATCCTCAGTCAGGGCACATACAAAAGTCAACCAATGAATGCATAAAAAAAGAGAACAACAAATTGATGTGTCTCTTTCCCTCTCTCTTCCACTCTAAAAATTAATAAAATTTGGAGTGAAGGCATAGATCCTGTGGGGCTTTGTGGGCTATTATAGGATATGGTAGGCTTTTTCTCTGAGTGAGATAGGAGCAAAGTGAGTGCATTTTGCTAATCTGTATCTGTCCCTTCTCCGAACTGAGTTCTGCCTATCAGATTTAAAACCTAGGTTTTATTTTTGGCAAATCACTTAACTGTTCTGAGCCTTGGTTTCTTTATCTCTAAAATGGGCATAAAAATAGTAACTGTTACATGATAGGGTTGCACACGGAAGAATAGTTGGCATGTGGGGGTCGATTGTTAATTTCTTTTTTTTTTTAAACATACATATTTTATTGATTTTTTTTTACAGAGAGGAAGGGAGAGGGACAGAGAGAGAAACATCGATCAGCCACCTCCTGTACACTCCCTAGTGGGTATGTGCGCGCAACCAAGGCACATGCCCCCCGATGGGAATTGAACCCGGGACCCCTCAGTCCGCAGGCCAACGCTCTATCCACTGAGCCAAACCAGTCAGGGCAGCAGTGCGATTTTTAAATTTTATTTAGATGTGGGAGCCAACGGAGAATGTCAGACAGGATGTTAATATTTTTAATATTAGCATTCTTGGTATTAATATTAAAATTGTCAACGTTGTCATTCTTCTCACAGCAAGCCCTGGATGAAAACATGGACCTTTTGGAAGGTATAACTGGTTTTGAAGATTCTGTCCGAAAATGTAAGTCCCTTTTTGAAACAGCTCCCAGGCAGGGGCAAGGGGGAGGCAGGTAGGAAGTGTTAGCAGGGTCCTGGGAGGTGGGCGTGGCTCTTTACCATCTTTGTCCCTGACCTCCACAGTTATCTGTCATGTCGTGGGTATCACTTATCAGCACATTGATCGCTGGCTGCTGGCCGAGATGCTCGGGGACCTGACCGGTAAGATGCTCTCTGGGTCCCTAATGCCAGCCTAGGAAGTTCAGGGTAGTCTGGGGTAATGGGCCTCAGCCAGCTCCTGATGGATCCATCCCTTCCTCACCCTGTGGTTATTGAAGGCCCAGCCCAGGAAGGAAGGAAGAAATTGGTATAAGACATTCCCTTTCTTAGGGAAGATATATCACATTCATTTGTTTATTCTGTATTAATTATTGAATGGCTGCTCTGTGCCAGACACTATTCTATCCAGTGGTAATTCATGCAAGACGGCTTGTAGAGTAGGGTGGGGGCAGCATTTGAACAACTGCAGTCTGAGGGCAGAGCAAATGTGAGGACCCTTAGGCAGTGGGGGCCTGTCATGTTCCCTGGGTGGCTGGAGCAGAATGAGTATAGGTATGGGTGGGTATATAGGGAGTCGATAGCAGAGAAGTGGTGGTGGGAAGGAGATCTCTAGATACAGCAGGGCCTTCAAAGGCTGATTTTTACTTTTAGAGAGATGGAGCCACAGAGGGTTCTGAGCAGGGAAGGACGTGATCAGATTTATGTTTTGTTTTTTTTAATGTATTTTATTGATTTCAGAGAGGGAGAGGAGATAGAAACATTAGTGACATGAGAGAATCATTGATTGGCTGTCTCTTGCACGCCCCACACTGGGGATTGAGCCCGCAACCCAGACATGTACCCTTGGCCAGAATCGAACTTGGGACCTTTCAGTTCATAGGCTGACCATTGAACCAAACCAGCTAGGGCTAGTTTTATGTTCTTAAAAGATTCTTCTAAAAAGAAAAAAGAAAAAAAAGAAAAAAACTGTGTGTGTTTGCACATTTTTGCAAAAAGAAACACAGGAAGGAAAAAAAAGGAAAATGGGGTAAAGATGAGGGGGTTGAGAACAGGGGGAGACAGGTGGATTTGGAGTGAGATTTCTCTGAGTACCTTTGACAGTTTTGCCTTTTGATCCAGTTAGTTTCTTGGGGGGGGGGGGGGGGGGGTTTGTTGTTTCTAATGGGAGCTAACTTGGACTTGATTGCACGCTTTGTGTCGGGCATTGTACTGTTTGACATACTAAAAAGTGAAATTAAATCAAAGGGGGATTTAACAACCTGAAAATTGAAAAGAAACATGAATCTGGATCACATTGATAATGGTTAATTATTTCCAGTAACAGTAAACCCTCTTGCCCTATATCCTTAGTGGCATATTTTCCAAGGGTGAAAAAGAACAGCAAAGAAATTCTCAAACCTGATAACCACAGGCTTATTGTTCGTGGTAATGATGACACGGTGGTTTTGAAACCATTTCTTGTAGATCATGGGGAAAAGCAGTTACATAAATATACTGTGGCTATTAGAACCAAGGTTTGCACTGGGAGAGAAAAGAGATAAATAGAAAATAAGACAAAAGTCTGTGTGGCATGTAAGGATGAGAAAGGTAAAAAGCTCCCCCTGGCAGCCGTCTGGAGAATGAACTATAGAAGTGCAGAGGTGCTGCTGCTGTTTGGATTGAAAATGCTCTTGGCTTCTGAAGCATTTGGGCAAGGAGGGTGCCTGGCCTTTTGGATCCCAGGACCCCTGGTACTGCAGGATTGGGTGACCAAAACCCCTGTGCTGCTGTGTCACCTGCAGACAGCCAGCTGAAGGTGTGGATGAGCAAGTACGGCTGGAGCGCTGATGAGGCGGGACAGATCTTCATCTGTAGCCAGGAAGAGAGCATTAAGCCCAAGAACATTGTGGAGAAGATCGACTTTGATAGTGAGTGGTACCCCGAGGCCTCAGGGTGTGTGGCTCAGCAGGTGCCCGTCCATAGAGACCCATCTGCCAGACTCCACTGGCCTCTTCTGTCCCAGGGCTGCCAACCAGGAAGGAAGCAGGGAGTACTGATGTCTTCCCTGGAACTTTCTGGCCCTGTGTCCTGCCCCACAGCACTCACTAAGACTTCCAGGGGCCTGGAGTGGCCTGGAGGGTGGTCCCCACACACTTACTGGTTCCTGGGGCTCTGTCCCATTGTCTCCTTGTCCTTGGGGCTCCCGGGGCCTCAGCCCTGGCATCTGCTAAAACGCAGCAGAATGCCAGCAGCTATAGGCTCTGGAGTTAGGCTAGTGGGTGGGAATCTTGGTTCTGTACTTGGTGGCTGTGTATCTTTGGGCAAGTGATTTTACTGCGCTATGCCTCAGTTTTCTCATCTATAATAAAATATGGGTAAAAGAGCATCAATAATAATGACAGACGCTGTTTCTTCACACTTAAGTCAGTTGACCTCTCCTTATCCTATAAGGTGGGTACTTTTAAAGAGAGTTATTGGTACAACAAGGCTTCTCAGTGCAAACCAGTTAACTTGGTACTTATTTATTTATTTATTTATTAACTTGGTACTTATTTAGGAACCAGATTGCACTTGGGTACTGTAGACCCTCACTCTGAGGTACCTATTCTATGTAAGAACTTAGTGGAGCAAATGGTTCAGTGAGGAGATGCAAGTCCAGCACAGAGTGTCTTGCATTACTATGATAATAGTAACACTTACTAGCAATCATTGTTCTAATGCATCCTTAATCCTATCCTAGTTAGGATAGATGCTTCCTACAGGTGGGGAAACTTATGTACCTGGTACCTGGCAGGGCTGAGACTTGAACCTGGGCCTCCTTGCTCCAGAGTCCAGACTTTTAACTACTGCCCCAAACTGCCTTTGTGATAGTGACTGGGGCCCAGAAGGGAGTTGTGATCTGTTGACTTTAAAGAATTGTGGGTGCTATAGTTGATGACTGGAACTTGTCTCTCATTTTTCCCACATTGACCCTTGGTCTCCCCTTCTCGTCAACAGGTGTGTCCAGCATCATGGCCTCCTCCCAGTAACTACAGATGCTTAATAAAGATTTATTGCCTTAGCCTTGTTGTCTCCTTAGTAGCTTCCAACTCTGTTCCTCGTCCACTAGAGGGAGCCCTGGAGCAGGTCTCTGTTGGCCCTGTGCTGGGGCCCCCAGTGGCAGGGCTTCCATCTTTTTTCTTCCCTTCCACTTCGTTGCCTGCCCCACCCCTGCAACTGACCTTCCACCCCCAGGAGAGGGCAGGTAACAGTGAGTCAGCAGGAAGGAGAGTGTGAATGGGACAGGAGCCCAGCCCTGCAGCTGGCTCTAGCCTGGGCTCTTCTGTACTCGGGAAAACCTAGCTGAGCAGGGTGTGGGCCTCCTGGGGTGCTGGAGGGCAGGCATATCTTTGCCCCTGGGCCTCACAAAACCATGCACTAGTGGCTAGAGGGTGATGGGGGAGGAGCCTGGCTGTTTTACCCTATGTGAATTCTTTTTAAAAAAATATATTTTATTTTTTAGAGGAAGGGATAGGGATAGAGAGGTACAAACATCGATGAGAGAGAAACATCAACCAGCTGCCTCCTGCACACCCCCCACCGGGGATGTGCCCGCAACCAATGTACATGTCCTTGACCAGAATCGAACCTGGGACCTTTCAGTCCACAGGCCAATGCTCTATCCACGGAGCCAAACCGGTTTCGGCATCCTATGAATTCTTGATCTAGTGACTCCGCCCCTGTTCCTCAGTTTTCTCAGAAAGGTGGAGAATGGTGCACTCTTCTCCGAGTTATGAGGATTTCATGAGCTCTTGTCAATAAATGTCTCAGACCAGGTCCCAGGCTGTTATTGGTGCTTAGAAAACAGGAGTTGTTGATTTTAGACTTGGGTTTGTCCCTGAGGTTGCAAACTAGTCCTTAGCATTCCCGTTTGGAGAGACTTGACAAGTAATTCATATTTTCAGCCAGGCCATACTCCCCTGTCCCCAAATCCCAGCCTGTGCTAGTTAGGAGGTCCAGTTCACATTCCTCAGTTGGGATGGTTATTTTTTCCCACTTTATACATGAAGTATTCCAGGCATCTTGCAGAATAACCTTGGACAAGTATCTTCTGTGCTTGTGTGTAAAGGGCATGGGAGGAAGTGGAATGCTGTGATAGACACACAGCCTTTAGTGCTACTGCCTAGGGGAGCTCTTCATTCTCCCCTGACAGTGGACTTTGCCTACGGAGATTGGCAATGCTGAGCAGCCAGCCTCCCTGATGCCCCTGCACTCACACCCATCCTCTGGCAGGGCTGGGCAGGACACCCTTTGCCCTCTGTTCCTGAGCTGGAGCCAGAAACTAGGGTGTGTTCAAACCCTGGGCACAAAGGGTGATTATATAGCGCAGAACTCGAGCCAGCTGTAAGGGGGGTGAAGGCTAGCAGGAGGGAAGACTAATGCTGCTACCCACTCATTTGTGTGGGCACCCCCTCAGGGTGGGCGCAACTCCTACTCACCCACTTGGTAGGTGCCCTGTGTACAATAAAACCTGTACAGCTTCCCAAAATCGGTTTGGCTCAGTGGATAGACTGTTGGTCTGCGGACTGAAAGGTCCCAGGTTTGATTCCAGTCAAGGGCATGTACCTTGGTTGCAGGCGCATCTCCAGTAGGGGGTGTGCAAGAGGCAGCTGATCTATGATTCTCTTGATGTTTCTAACTTTTTCTCTCTGTAAAAAAAAATATGTTTAAAAAAAAAAAAAAAAAAAACCTGTACAGCTGGCCATGTCCACAACAAGGAAGAGGAAATAACCCGTGTCGTTTGGAACCACATCTCGTCCTGCTTTGCCAACCTGTTTTTGCTTCAGGGGAATCATCATCCTTTGACAGCCTGAGTTCCAATCCCAGACAAATAGTCTTTGGGCTTGTTAACTGCTTCAATTTTACAGCTGGTGAAAGTACCTACTTTCATAGTTGTGAATTAACGTGAAAATTTTAGAGATCTTGGCACACTGTAATATCACAAATGTGTAGCCTGTCTTGCTCACTTGGGCTGTTCAGCTGCTACCATTGTCACCTCTAGATATCCCAGGATCCATGTTCCCACCTTGGGAGGACACAGCTGTCTCCTTTGTTTTGCCCAAGTGCCACTAATAATAGGACACAGTGCTTAATCCGATACTACAGTCTTGGGAATTCTAAGTGGTACAGAATGGTGATCCCATTGACATGCCCCTTCATTCCGAGCCTCTTCCAGTCTCATCCTGCCCATTGACACAATTGATGATAGCTATTATTGCACTGGTCCTGGAGGGCCTCAAAGATGACTGGCAAAGGGAGCCCATAATTTAACCTCATTGCTTGGCACCATCAGCTTTGTCTCTCAGCCAGAGTTCAGTGTCCACCAGGAGCAGGCAGAGTGGGGCAGATGGCCCTAAACCCAAGGGCCTTTCCCTGCTGACAAGGCCCAGCACAAGAGTCCTGGGCTTGTTGGCCAAGTCAACAGGCTGCCTGCCCAGCCCAGCTTTGTAAATCAACAACACTTGGGTCTTTGGCTAGGTCCTAGCATCATACCCTGGGAAAGTGGGCTTCTGCCAGCTCTTGTTCCCTTTGCTTGCCATTAGATCCCTTCCAGTGCCTTTGAGAGAGCTGGGGAAAGACCTTGAAGATCTCATACCTGGAGGAGCTATGTCTTTTTTTTTTTTTTAAGTACTAGAGACCCAGTGCACAAAATTCGTGCATGAGAGGGGTTGTCCCTCAGCCTAGCCTGCACCCTCTCCAATCTGCAACCCGTCAAGGGATGGCCCTATCACAATCCAGGACTGCTGGCTCCCAAATGTTTGCCTGCCTGCCTTCCTGATTGCCCCTAACTGCTTCTGCCTGCCAGCCTGATCACCCCCTAACCATCGCATGCTAACCTGATTGATGTCTAACTGTACCCTGCCAGCCTGTTTGCCCCCAACTTTCCTCCTCTGCTGGCCTGGTCACCCCTAACTGCCCTTCCCTGCAGGATTGATCACCTCCAACTGCCCACCCTTGTAGGCCTGGTGCCTCCCAACTGCCCTCCCCTGCTGGCCATCTTGTAGCCAACTTGTGTCCACATGTGGGCAGCTATCTTTGATCACATGGGAGCAGCTATTGTGTGTTGGTCAATCTGCATATTACTATTTTATTAGATAGGATAGAGGCCTGGTGCACAGACAGGGGCCAGCTGGTTTGCCCTGAAGGGTGTCCCAGATCAGGGTGGGGGTTTCCTTGTGGCATGGGACAGCCTAAGTGAGGGGCCTGTGATGGTTTGCAGGCTGGCCACGCTCCCTGGTGACCCAAGTAGAGGCCCTGGTATCAGGAATTTATTTACCTTCTGCAATTGAAACTTTGTATCCTTGAGTGGACCCAAGCTTTCTGCTTGCTCTGTGGCCAGCAGCCATTTCTGTTTGGATTTATTTACCTTCTATAATTGAAACTTTGTAGCCTTGAGTGGAGGCTTAGGCCAGCAAGGGCAGGTGAAAAGCTTGGCTTCCTCCATAGCCTGGGAAACCCAAGCCTCCCTCCTGCTCTCTGTGGCTGTAGCCATCTTGGTTGGGTTTACTTGCATATTTGCTCTTATTGGCTGGTGGGCATGGTTGGTGGGCATGGCTTGTGGGTGTAGGGAAATGATTGTTAATTTGCATATTACTCTTTTATTAGGTAGGCTATTTTATTGATTTTTTACAGAGAGGAAGGGAAAGGGATAGATAGAAACATCGAAGAGAGAGAAACATCAACCAGCTGCCTCTTGCACACCTCCTTCTGGGGATGTGCCTACAACCAAGGTACATGCCTTGACCAGAATTGAATCTTTGACCTTTCAGTCCATAGGCCACTGAGCCAAATTAGTTAGTGCAGGAGCCATGTCTTTTTTAATATATATATATATATATATATATATATATATATATATTATTAATTTCAAAGAGGAAGGGAGAGGGATAGAAAGATAGAAACATTAATGATGAAAGAATCTTTTTTTCTGGTGTTAATTTTTTTTAATTTAATAAATCCTTATTGTTCGGATTATTACAATAGTTTCTCCTTCCCTCCCCCGCCATAGCGCTCCTCCATCTGGTTCCCACCCCACCCTCTGCCCTTACTCCTCCTGCACTGTCCTCATCCATAGGTGTACAATTTTTCTCCAATTTCTTCCCCCACCTCCCATACCCCTTTACCCCTGAGAATTATCAGTCCACTCCTTTTCTATGCTCCTGATTCTATTCTATTCACCAGTTTATTCTGTTGCTCAGATTTTTAATTCACTTGATTTTTAAATTCACTTGATAAATATATATTTGTTGTTCATAATTTTTATCTATACTTTTTTCTTCTTTCTCTTATAGAATACCTTTCAGCACTTCATATAATACTGGTTTGGTGGTGATGAATTCCTTTAGATTTTTCTTATCTCTGAAGCTCTTTATCTAACTTTCAATTCTGAATGATATAACTTTGTTGGGTAATTTTGGTTGTAGGTTTTTTTCTATTTATCATTTTGAATATTTCTTGCCACTCCCATCTGGCCTGCATAGTTTCTGTTGAGAAATCAGCTGACAATCCTATGGGTGCTCCCTTATAGGTAATTAACTGTTTTTTCTCTTGCTGCTTTTAATATTCTCTCTTAGTCTTTTGCTCTTGGCATTTTAATTATGTTGTGTCTTGGTGTGGTCCTCTTTGGATTCCTTTTGTTTGGAGTTCTCTGTGCTTCCTGGACTTGTAAGTCTTCTGTCATTATTTCTTCAAATAGGTTTTCAGTATCTTGCTCTCTCTCTGCTTCTGGCACCTCCATAATTCTGATGTTGGTACACTTGAAGTTATCCCAGAGGCTTCTTACACTATCTTCAACTTTTTGGATTCTTTTTTCTTTTTTCTTCTTTGTATTTCAAATCTTTTACTTGGTTCTTGCATTCCTCTACACTGCTGTTGGGTCTCTGTATAATATTTTTCATTTCAGTCAGTGTATGTTTAATTTGTAGTTGGTCCTTTTTCATATCCTCGAGGGTCTGGCTAAATTTAGTGGCCTTTTCTAGGAAATTCTTGA